AAATTAAGTGGAAGAAAGTTCTTTTCTTTCTCCCCCACTTCTTTAATTTCACTGTACAGTGATATGCATTTTCCTACTGGATTAAAAACATAGAAAACACAAGGACAACATGCTGTAACAAAAGGCCCAAAGGTCACCTTCTTTAGTCCTTTCCTTACATTCACCCATGCAAAGTCTCTTGGTTGTTCATTATCTTAGTAGTAGGTGTGGTGGGTGAGGAGCCATGGGAATTGTGAAACTAGACCAGAGAAAATCGTTACTTAGTTATCTTAACGTCTGTGTGGGGAAATGTGGGTGGGGTTAGCTGGTTTTTCAATGTTGTGGGAGCTGCTACATACAGCAGGTTATTATGAATAGAATGTAGGATTTCAAAAGATAGAGCTTTGAAGCTTGAAAGAAGTTCTTGATTTTCAAATGTATGCTAAGATGGAAAACATATGGCTTTTTGTACCAAGAAATAATGTGCACCCAGAGATTGACAATATCTTCTAAGTAACCCCACGGCATAATTGGTTACTGTGTGACCACAGGAAGTTCCACACTGTTCTCAATGTATGTACATTACATTTGATTCCCATTACTTTGAAATAGTTACATTCTAAAATTGCCATAAACACTGAATTAGCAATTAACAAGGTTAAAAAATACAGGGTTAGGTTTCTGCAAACCTCTGGTCACAACATTTTCATCAATGAATAACTTTGTGTGTGTGTGTGTTTTTCAAGACATCTTATTTAATATATATTGTCTATTCCTCAGCATTAAACTAATGGCCAACAGCTCTGTTCTCCATCATTATCCTTTTGTGATGCATGAAGAAGTCCTCACGTTTTGTTTTATGCCAGATCTTTTATCGTTCAGGATGGACTTTGAATAGCACAAACCAAAACTTTTTCTTACTCATGCTGTGTGACTATAATTGGCTCATAGTATGCTTAGATGCGCAGAGAAATGGAGCCTTTCCTTTCTCTATGGCAGATCTGGTCTCTTACAATGTCTTCTTCGTTGGAAGAGGAAAGCCTAATTCATAATAATTATATGATAATTATTATAAATTATTAATAATTTCCTAGTCTCTTCAGTCAAAACTGTTTGTTGGTTTGTTTGTTTATTTAGTTAGTTTAGTTTACAATAGTCCCTCCTTTCAGGAAAAGCTCATTTATTCTGAGTTTTGACCCCTCTCTCTTACCTCCCAAGGTGGCTTCCAGGTGTGTGAAGAGTACACTGTACCCTTGAAGGTGGGGCAGGCAACCTTGGGTCTGCATCAAGGGGTCCTGGTATTGCTTTCTGGCCCCTACTGGCCCCTGTGGTGGCGTGTCCCTTGCTTACCCTGGTGACATCTGCCATAGAAGTCATTTGGGGAAAGAGTTATCTAGTCTCTCTCAGCTTGGTCAGGACCTAGGGGTTTCCCAGCTGACCTGCCTGTCCTTCTGTGACTGAGAATTCATGCCAGAGCTGATGGCGCCAAGGATGGGCATCTCACCCAAGCTGGACCAGTCAGAGATCTTCCCTAGGATTTTTCAAACTGGAGCTAAGCAGCCTAGTCTCTTTCAGGAGGCTCAGGGCTAGTGGGCCACTTTGTTTTGCTACTTCGAGGAAGTAAAGGAAGACCTGAGGAAAGGAGCACATAATTGAGAGTGTGAGAGTCAGATCCTTGATCTAAGTTATACTTGAGATCCTGTGCTCCTTTTTTTTTTTTTTTCCTGTTTTTTCTATGAGCTATTCACACATCTTTCTAGTAAATTCCCCCTTTGGGTCCAAGCTAGTTTGAGTTCAGTTTCTCATACCTGTAGCTGAAAACAAAAATCCTCAAACAATTATGATTTTTAAATGATTTAGTGATCATCATAGCACTTGCATATTTACAGTAATTCCAAGCAACCTTCATTTACACTATTCTCCATCATTATACAATGTTTACAGGCTGGGCACTATTATTGGCAAGCATATGAGATAATTGAGACTTAAAAAATTGCTATTATGAAATGTAACACTCATACAAAAAAGTACACAAATCAGAAATGTACCTGATGAAGAGTTATCACAAAGTTAACAGCTGTGTAATTTTCACACAGAAACAACACTAACACCCCCAAAGTCCAATCTCATGCTCCCTTCCAATCAGGTTTCTCACTTTATGGTTTTCACTTCCTTATTTTTCCCCCTAGTTTTATTACCCAAGCACACATCCCTGAACCTTAAAATTGAATTCTGCCATTTTTTTGAACATTATATAAATGAAGTAATGCAATATAACTTTTTGGGGGGATCTGTATTCTTCTGTTCTGAATTGTATTTTGAGATTCATCCAGTAGTTAGCTGTAGCTATAGTTCAGCTTTTTTACTTTATTATTATTTTTTAATTTTTTTTAACTTTATTTTTGAGAGAGAGAGCATGAGCAAGGGAGGGGCTGAGAGAGGAGACTGAGGATGAACCGTGAGATCATGACCTGAGTCAAAGTGGGACACTCAACCGACTAAGCCACCCAGGTGCCCCTATAGTTGTTTTTCAAAAATTGCTGTTTAGTATTCCATCATATGAATGTACAGTCATTTGTCTATTCTGTTAATAGATAATTTTTTGGCTTTTATTAATAATATTGGCATGAATATTCTTGGTGAATAAATGCATTTTTTTTTTACTGTATACCTAAGAGTTAAATTGCTAGATCATGAATATGTACCTTTTCAGGTGAGTAAATAATACCAAAATCTTTTCCTAAATGATTTTTCCAGTTTATATTCCTACCAGCATTTTATGAGAGTTTATCCTGCTCTGTATCCTAACACAGTCTTTTTAACTTTAGCAATTTGTGTGGGTGCAAATGGTATCTCACTGTGGTTTTAATTTCACTTCCTCCTGATAGCTAATGAAAACTGAATGCCATTTTGCATGTTTAATGGACTTTTGTATATCTTCTTTTGTGAAATGCCGGTTGAAGTCTCTTGCCTGTTTTTGTTTTTGATTGCGTTTCTTTTTATTGATTTTTAAGAGTTCTTTATATATTTGAATAAGAGACCAAGAGCCCTCTGTTGGATATATATGTTGCCAGCATCTTCTTCCACTCTGTGGCTTGCCTTTTCACTCACTTAAAGGTATTTTTTGAGGGAGAGAATTAATTCAGACTTAGCAATTGGGATTTGAAAACACTACATCTGCATCTGACAGAATAACTAGACCAAACAGTGGAAAGTAAATTTCTCATTTCAATAAAATGAACTCACACATGCTCTCTAGACAAAGTTGTACATTCTTTCATTGGAATGTTGTTTCTGAGATGGCAGTTTATGTTTAAACGATTGAAAATTCCATTACATTAGAAGCCAGAAAAATATACTTATAATATTTAATTCTGCCGCTTGGTGGTGTCATGGAAAACTAATAATAATGATTTAAAAGGATTGTTCTGAAAGTTTGCTGGACAGTAGGACTTGGCTATTAGCAAATTAAAAAACACATTTTTTTTTAAAGTTTGTAATCCTCTTATACATTGCAATGGCTAAAAAATTCATATAGGCTCAGTCTTTCACTATAAAATCCCAGGTTTACTGATAGCCGAACAAGAAACCAGGATGGCACAAATAGTTTTTTTAATCATGGAAATTTTCAAGTATCCTAAAATGCCAATATAACTAAGATCTCTGTATCTACTACATAGATAATGTTAGCATCCTGTCATATTTACTTTAAAAAAATTAAAGTTTATGCTCCTTTGTTCTCCTGTTTCATTTCCTTTTCTCTTTTTCTCACTAGAGGTGACCGACCCACTATCCAAATTTGATGTGTACCATCCCAGTTCTTGTTTTCCTATTTTTCCTACATTTCACGTGTTCATGCACAATACAAATGTTTTCTATTTTTAAACGTATCTTTTCATGTTACAGTATAATGCAATTTGCTAACACAGTATTTGGTCATGTTGACATACAGATTTATACAGACATAAACAGATCTAGGTCATTAGTTTTAACTGCTGTGTAGTAATTCATGACACACTTATTTATTCCTCTATCAATTAACATTTTAATATTGCAATAAATGCAATGCCTAGAACAATATCGAATATATATAGCTCCTCCATTAGATTAATGGAGGCAAGCTTTTAATTAAAGAAAAGCGGCAAAAAATACCTCACGCAGACTATTTTTTGCTTCAGTTCTCCAGTTATTTGTCGTTATCATCCACCCTATCTGCAGGAATGGCTGGAGTCATTCCCTAAAATTTCCTAATGCCTTTTTACCCAATTCACTGAAAAAGACTCTGATGTGGTGTGATCATGGGGACGGGGTGAGCGGATACAGTGGGTAGAGAGTGTTCACAAAGAAACTTCAATGTCAAAATATAAGCCAATGGTTTGTCTGGGCTGGAACAGGAGAGGGTGGCCGCAGCAAGCGTTATAAGTCTGGGGGAGGTCTGACAGTTTACAATGCAAAGCATGTCTGGTGCTACCATGTCCGGAAAAGGAGATAAAGGAACATAAAGGTCTTTCTCTCCAAGTACGTTCTGAAAGCTATAACCATCAAACGCCACACGGTTGCCATGAGAACCAGCAGGGGGAGGGGGGAGAGAAGATCCGCCAGAATTCTTGATGCACTTAGAATGTTTCTTCTTCCGGTCCTTTGCTCTTGGCAACCACCGCCTCTCTCCTCGGTCCCCCGCCCATTCTGTGGGCTCCCGTCATTCTCTTCCTTTTTTGATTCTTTCCTTCTCCATTCTAGGTCGCCATCTTGGGCCATGCGACAAGATGGCGCCCCCTGGTCGTAGAGGCAGAGCCCTGGCGCGCCAGCGAGCCTGCGCACGCACGTGCTCAGGCGCTGGAGGGTGGGGCGGGGACGCCCAGACGCTGCCCCGCCCCCAGTAGTCGCCCCGCCCCTGGTCCCCATCCGCCTTCCTCCCACCCGGCGAACCCGGAAGTGGAGGAGGAGGCGCGGCGGCGGTGGCCGAACGGGCAGGCGCTGGCGGAGCCCAACTGGGGAGCGTGTCTGGGTTGGGGGCGGGGGGCGGGGCTGAGCGGCCTGGGCAGCCAGGCCCGGACGGGGCGGGGGAGGCCATGGCCTCCGCAGAGTTGCAGGGGAAGTACCAGAAGCTGGCTCAGGAGTACTCGAAGGTATCCATCGTGGGCGGGGAGTAGGGGGTCCCCGGCCCTGCGGCCTCGGGTTGCCTTGGCAGCTACTCGTCGGGACGGAGGGGAACGGCGAAGGGGACACGCTCGCTTGCCCCTCCTCTCCTCTGGCTTCTCTGTCCACCATTACCATGCCTCCACCTGCAGCTCCCAGGAGATGGGGCCGGGCCGCGTCTCGGTCCGTGTGCGTTTCTGCGGGAAGGAGCACGAGTTTGATTTTTGCTTCTCACCAAACTAGCGGGCTTGGGACTGGGGTGTCAGATTCCTGGCTTCTGCCTTTGGTGCTAGTCGGGAGGGGAAGGGAAGGGTAAGGACCAACCCCTCCACTGCTGCTTCCTCAATCTTCCCAGCCCAGTGATGGGAAAGATCAAGCTTTCTTCCTTCTCACAGAGATGAGATGAAGATAAAAGAGATTTATGTGTCCCCACTCAATTCGGGAGGGTGAAAAGAGCCATTCGTGTAAACTGTCTCACTGGGGATGGGTGGTTACGAATGTATTCAGTGCATTGGCAAGATGTTGTCTGGAGATGATTTTGAAAGCTTGAGTGGTAGGGCTGTGTCCTTTTTTCTTTCTTTTCCCTCGGTCACCTGGAGTGGGGCAGAGCACCCGGGTGCTCAATACATGCTGAATTAAGCAAACTAGGGACCTGCCCCTTTGTCGTATTTATGGCACCCGTCTTTAAATGATGGAACCCTTTCCTTGGAAAAGGGTGGTGCTGCTTCTAAGGTGTTGCTGCCCTAAGAATATTCTAATGAAGTTATAAAAGAATCTCACATCTTCAAAAATTGACTTAGCATTCTTTAAGCTTAGTTTTCTGTGACCTTTTATCATGGGGGCAATGGGAAGACTTAGCCCCCTGTTTACAGTTTGGAGAAACGGACGCATTATATCCTTAGGATTTCATTTAACAAGTTCTCAGCAAGGTGAAATGAAATATTGTTTGAAAAATAAAAGCTGTTGCCTAAACATACACACTTACCTCTTTTCACCATCAAATGGGAGTCTTTTGAGATACGATACTTATTCATCGATGCTGCCTCGGGCAAAACTTCTTGCATTTCCATTTGAATTGGTCTTAAGAGCCTGTAGCACAATGTCAGTGATGGCAAGTTTTCAACCTTTGAGGGAATATTTTCTTGTTTGAAAGGGTCAGAAGTTGTTTGAAACATCCATATGATGAAGAAGGTCGGTGAAGAAGGGTACTCAAACTTGGCTCTACTATTTGTGGGTGAAAATGTTTTATGAATATAAAGTAAGGGGACTGATTTTCTTCTCCAGGGAGTAAACAATCTCAGAAGACAATTCCAGATGGCAAAAGAGAGTTCTAAAAATGTCTTAAGCAGTGACTGCATTGCCGAAATAATTACATAGCCTCCCCAAAGTATTACGAACTTGGAAGATTTTATTTGTTTGGATATAGATGCTCTTTCATTTAACAGACATTTATTATGTGCTTTCTGTGAACAGCCCACCATGGTCTGTTGAGTGAGGCAGAGTTCCAGTTTAAGGAGCACCCTTTAATAGGATGTTCAAACATTGTACATCTTTATGATATAGTATGACAAGTGTTGGTTCAGTGGGAGCACAGAAGAGATGGAGGGTAAGGGTTGAAGAAGTTAACTGGGAAGTAGGGAAGAGGGAGGGTTGGTAGCATCCCAGGCAAAGGGAAAGGGCTATGTTTGCAGACATGAAAGCACATTAAGATACATGGCAAGACTGGTGAAATATAGTTGGAGAGTTAATTTGGACCTGATCATAAAGGGTTGTGGATGTTAAATATGTTTGAACTTTATCTTTTGAGTAATGTCAAAGGTTTTTAATCAGGGTAATGATGTTACTTTTAGGAGGGGAACTGGTAACTATGTGGAGGATGAATTGAAAGGGAAAGAGTGGTGAAAAGACCAGACTGTAGGCTGTTGGAATAGTTTTGAGGAGTGTAATACAGGCTTGAATCAAACTAGTGACTGTTGAGGTGGAGAGGAGGACCTAGATTTAGGAATTATGATTAAAGTACCTTTTCACTTAGATTTTTTTTTTAGTGCTTTGTTGGTACATAGCACTAAATTTATGAAGAATGTAGAGTGTAGGAGGCACTCATCGTGGTGTCTCATTGATTCTGTGGGATGTGGTGAGTGAGGGGAGACTGAGAGTTGACCCTGCTGTTCAGAGGTGAGGGTATATGACTGCTACTGACAGATGCCACTGGCAGGAAGTTGAGGCAGTTTGGAGTAAAGGGGTGTATTAAAGGTTAGATGCAATTATAGAATTTTAAGGTCTGCAGGCACATTAAAGTTCTCTTGTTCACATAGGAGCTTGAGGTGTTGTTGGAGTAACTGCTGAAAATTTCTAGTGGAGATGGACTGGCTAAAAGTCAGGACAATGGCCAGAGCTTCTGGAATAGTTCTTATGAAGACAATAGTTGAACTGCAAGAGTTAATCAGGGTGGAACACTTTAGGTAGACTCTTTGGGGAACATGGGTGGGAAGCATGTGAAAGAAGGAGGGGATGCTAAGGAGACTCTAAGGAGGTCTGCCAGACTTGAGGCTATTTATCTCCCCAATTAGGCTAGACCATTTTTCATCTTTTTAATTGCAATGTGATGGAAATTTCAGAACGTAAGAGAACAGAGGTTGGTCAAAAGATTGCATGTGTTTTTATTCTCTGTCAATTCTAGTGCCAAGCAATTCCTAGGTAAGATCTATGCCACCTTCAGCTCTGAGCCTGTGGAAGGGGCTTTCTGCCTTTTATTACCTTCTCGGGTGCAGACATTGTGGGCTAATGTTGAAATCCAGTTATGTCTTTTTCCTTATTTAGGATACGAAGACAAAAGATTTCCTCATAAACAGTAGAAGGAGGCTACAAAGCAAGAGAGCAAGCATGATCCCTAAACCAAGGACATTTGCAGAATCTCTTTGTTTTGATTTAATGCAGATCTCAGCCTGTTTTCCAGGAAGGGGCCCATTTCTTTCTGGGAACTGCGGTCATATATTTTTCCCTCCCAAGAAGGAAAAAAGTGGTCTGAGGAGCTCCCATTAAGGAAACTGAAAGTTTAGTTAGATAAAAGATGGACCATGGGAGGCCAAAGCAGATGATAATTTCTGAGGCTGATTGCTAAAATATTGAGTGTTAATGGAAAGGGCAGTGAATGTAGAGATTAAGACCCTAGTTGTTTGGGCAATTAGGAGGTCATTGGAGGCTTTTGAAATTTCAGGTTTAATAAAGTTCAGGGGAGGGAAAAGGTGTAGGTAACTGAATTTTAGAGGTTTATGGAGTTAATTGGTAAGAGATAACAAGCTACTTCTTTAAGATGTGAGGGAAAGCTAATCAAGGCCTCAGTTACTACACTGTAGATTAAGAATCAAAGATCATTTCTTACATGGTGTCTCTTCCACAGCTTGGTCTGCTGCTGCTTTTTTTTTTTTTTTTAATGTTTTATTATTTATTTTTGAGAGAGAGACAGAGTGCTAGCAGGGGAGGGGCAGAGAGAGAGGGGGAGACAGAATCCGAAGCAGGCTCCAGGCTCCGAACCATCAACACAGAGCCCTATGTGGGGCTCAAACTCACGAATCATGAGATCATGACCTGAGCTGAAGTCGGGTGCTTAACTGACTGAGTCACCCAGGTGCCCCATTCTTCTTCTTTTTTTTTTTTTTTTTTAACGTTTATTTATTTATTTTGAGAGATTTAGAGTGTAAGCAGGGGATGGGCAGAGAGAGAGAGCATGGGAGAGAGAGAATCCCAAGCAGGCTCCACACTGTCAGTGCAGAGCCCAACTCGAGACTTGAACTCATGAGTTGTGAGATCATGACCTGAGCTAAAATCAGGAGTTGGACAATTAACTGAGTGAGCCACCCAGGTGCCCTGGCCTGGTCTGCTTCTGATGCTCAGGTATACCTCATAGAGAAGAGAGGCTTAGAGCACTGAGTCCTGGCTCTGTTGGTTTCAGCCTGCTTTCTTTGTAGGAGCTCCTGTATCCCTGCCTGGCATCATGTTAGGTGTATAAGCATGTTTCAAGTTCTGTTTTCTCAATGTATGTTTCACTCTGGGTCAGTGTCTTTCAGATTGTGGCCCCAGCATCATCAGCGTCTGGGAATGAGTTAGAATTATAAATTCTCAGGTCCACCTGGGACTTACTGAATCTAAAACTGGTGGTTAAACCCAGCAATCTGTGGGTAAAAACCTGTGCAATGATGTTGATGCACACCAAAGTTTGAGAACCATTGCTCAAGGAATGGTATCAGTATTAGCTCTTCCTCAGTTAATGTTTTTGAAGCTCTTTTTGAGGCAGTAAAAACCATTGGGAAAGTCAGACATCCATGATTTCTCTTAACAGTTTACTTTGCTGTTGGTGCTACTTTTAGTTATGAAAGAGATTGCCTTTGGGAGCTTTTTAGATTTACACTTTTAGGAGAGAGCTATTCATATTGGTGAAGGGTCAGTTTTGATTTGGCATGTTTGGTCGGAGCTTGGTGGAACCTGATTAATTGCCCCTTGCTGTAAGAGAAATCAACTCAGGAGCTGGATTAAAAATGAGTATATTTGGATTAAAATCTAGTATCAGTTTTATTTTTTTTGTTTTTGTTTTTTGCCCTCATGTGTAGGGTTCACTAGTGAAGTTTGACTGGAAAATAGCATTGTTCAGTGCTATCTAATGGAACTTACTATAAGAATGAAATGTTCTGTATTTATGCTGTCCAGTAGGGTAACCGCTAGCCATATGGGGCTATTAAACATTTTCAATGTGGCTAGTACAACTAAGGAACAGAATGTTAGGAGGTTTTATTTATTTATTATTACTTTTTTAAGTATTTATTTTGAGGGAGAGAGGTAGGATCCCAAGCAGGCTCCGTGCTGTCAGCTCAGAGCCTGACGTGGAGCTTGATCTCACAAACCATCGTGAGACCTGAGCTAATATTAAGAGTTGGATACCTGAGCCACCCAGGTGCCCTGAAAGAGAGAATCATAAGCAGACTCCACACTCAGT